AAAAACGGTAAAACTCAACTGTTTAACTCTAGGGGAGTTGGAAAATGAGCCTACTTTCAAAAATAGTGGAGTGTTCCTTTAACATTTGACTCTATTTTACCTAAAACATCTTCCTTGATTTCTTGATTAATCTGTCTGTAAACTTTTGCACTGTGTCTGAAAGGAATTTCCTTTTTGCATGAGGTCACAAATCCAGTAAGCATGACATAACGCTCATGTTTCACAATCCAATCAATTTCCAATGGATTAAATTCAATCCCTTTTTACTGCTTTCTCCCTAAATATTACATTTTAATCTGAAATATCTTGGATTATGCGAGTACAATGGGATGCGACTTATATATGAGGACTGTTCGTTTGTAGGAAACTCGATGAAGTGTTGTGCTACATGAAGCTGGGATACTGTTGATCATCACATAAATAACCGGACAGACTTGGCAACAGCATATGTTGTTCAGATGTATATTTATATTTTTTACATGGTTTTAAATATTTAAAATAATTCACTGTTGAAATTCCCTGCATATATATTTCTCCATTAAAAGGCATTTGATGACTCATGCTGGTGGAGCAGTCAGGAAATCCAGTCCTGTTTTTCAACGATCCTGAAACAGTTCACTCACTGATGAGGAGAACCAGCGGTTCAGGATCTTCAGGTCATGCCCAAATTCTTCATCCGATCTGATTCATAAGAAGTCAGAGCTCAAATTCACACTCCGGAGACTTACTTCAGTTAAAACATGATGCAAATTCCCATTTCCATTATTATTTCCAATTGATTGAACAATTTCATAGATCCAGCTTTGCTTCAAGTCATTTTTTAGTATATAAAATGTTACGCTCAGGTGATGGTGAGAAGGGATAGGCTACACTAAATGAATCCTGGGAAGAGAGACTGCAGGAGCAGAATCACTCCAACCACCATCAGACCGCAGAAGAAACTATTAGTGCTGCCTTAGAATTTGGCACAAAAGAAAGCATCTTAAAAGACAGAATTATTCAGCCTTAAAATGCTAAGTCTACAAAAGCAGCTTTTGCCTGTATGTAACTGATAAGTGATTATGTTTGTACCTGCAGGGAAAACGCTATATAGATGGCCACAGATCCCGTCACAGTGCCAAGACCAAGAAATGTTCCAGAGTCACTGAGGAAAGACACACGACCATCAAACACATGATAATTCACCATAACAATGAATAACGCATGAGAGATACAGACAGATTCCCTCTACCTCACTGAAAGACAAGATATAACTTCATTCCCACAAGTCTTCGTGAGCAGCGGCAGGAAAGCATGTCCGTCCCATTTAGTGATGTAGCATGGAGGGGGTTTGCGGTCCCGTTTGTGGGGGATCTGGACTGTATAGAGTCTTAAAGCATCTTTCTGGTCCTCTACCTTTGCAAACCTGGTTTTGAGCAAGAACATAATGACAAAACATTAGCTTCTTGTCTGTTACTAACTGGCTTCTTCCATGAATAGAGTAGACTTTAGTGTCCCGTTACCTTTTCTTACAGCTATCACATTAGATTAGATATAACTATTAGTTTTGTTAAATAATAATCCTCTGCAGTGAATGGGTGCCGTCAGAATGAGAGTCCAAACAGCTGATAAAAACATCACAATAATCCACAAGTAATCCACACCACTCCAGTCCATCAGTTAGTGTCTTGTGAAGAGACTGCATGTTTGTAAGAAACAAATCCATCAAGGCATTTTTAACTACGAACCGCTGCTTCATGCCAAAATTTAAGTCAACTCCATAATCCATAATAACACTTCCTCCAGTGAAAAAGTCCATCCTTTGTTGTCTCTCACATCAAAAGCCACCCACATATTTGTTTAGAAATGTTTCGCTCTTATGTCTAATGGTGTTTGATCCGTGCAGATTTCTCTCCTGATTCAGACCAGACTTTTTTTCACTAATGAAACCATTATTATGGATTATGGACTCGTATTTTAGCCAGAAGTGACACTCTGAAGTTAAAATGCAGTAATGACCAATTTGTATCTTACAAACACGTAGCTTTTATCTCACAAGACGTTAACTTATGAAATCTTTTGAGTCAAAAGATTTATATTTCAAATAAATGCTGTTCTTTTGAACTTTCTATTCAACAAAGAATCCTGAAAAATAAAACGTATCACAGTTTCCACAAAGATATTCGGCAGCACAACTGTTTTCAACATTGATAATAATCAGAAATGTTTCTTGAGCAGCAAATCAGCATATTAGATAGAGTGAGCTGAGGCGGCGGGCTTGAGAACGGCGCGGCCGACAATTTCGACGAAGGAGCGTCCGGAAGGACATGTGACGACTCCGGGCTGGACTCCGCTTCCTCCACGG